TGAGACTCTGCCTGGCTTCAGTGTGAAGACGCTGAGACTCTGCCTGGCTTCAGCGTGAAGACGCTGAGACACTGCCTGGCTTCAGCATGAAGACGCTGAGACTCTGCCTGGCTTCAGAGTGAAGACGCTGAGACTCTGCCTGGCTTCAGAGTGAAGACACTGAGACTCTGCCTGGCTTCAGCGTGAAGACGCTGAGACTCTGCCTGGCTTCAGCGTGAAGATGCTGAGACTCTGCCTGGCTTCAGCGTGAAGACACTGAGACTCTGCCTGGCTTCAGAGTGAAGACACTGAGACTCTGCCTGGCTTCAGAGTGAAGACGCTGAGACTCTGCCTGGCTTCAGCATGAAGACGCTGAGACTCTGCCTGGCTTCAGCGTGAAGACGCTGAGACTCTGCCTGGCTTCAGCGTGAAGACGCTGAGACACTGCCTGGCTTCAGCATGAAGACGCTGAGACTCTGCCTGGCTTCAGAGTGAAGACGCTGAGACTCTGCCTGGCTTCAGAGTGAAGACACTGAGACTCTGCCTGGCTTCAGCATGAAGACGCTGAGACTCTGCCTGGCTTCAGAGTGAAGACGCTGAGACTCTGCCTGGCTTCAGAGTGAAGACGCTGAGACTCTGCCTGGCTTCAGCATGAAGACACTGAGACTCTGCCTGGCTTCAGAGTGAAGACACTGAGACTCTGCCTGGCTTCAGCGTGAAGACGCTGAGACTCTGCCTGACTTCAGTGTGAAGACGCTGAGACTCTGCCTGGCTTCAGCGTGAAGACGCTGAGACTCTGCCTGGCTTCAGCGTGAAGACACTGAGACTCTGCCTGGCTTCAGCGTGAAGACACTGAGACTCTGCCTGGCTTCAGCGTGAAGACACTGAGACTCTGCCTGGCTTCAGAGTGAAGACGCTGAGACTCTGCCTGGCTTCAGAGTGAAGACACTGAGACTCTGCCTGGCTTCAGAGTGGAGACACTGAGACTCTGCTTGGCTTCAGAGTGAAGACGCTGAGACTCTGCCTGGCTTCAGCATGAAGACGCTGAGACTCTGCCTGGCTTCAGAGTGAAGACGCTGAGACTCTGCCTGGCTTCAGAGTGAAGACGCTGAGACTCTGCCTGGCTTCAGAGTGAAGACGCTGAGACTCTGCCTGGCTTCAGAGTGAAGACACTGAGACTCTGCCTGGCTTCAGTGTGAAGACGCTGAGACTCTGCCTGGCTTCAGCATGAAGACACTGAGACTCTGCTTGGCTTCAGAGTGGAGACACTGAGACTCTGCTTGGCTTCAGAGTGGAGACACTGAGACTCTGCCTGGCTTCAGCATGAAGACGCTGAGACTCTGCCTGGCTTCAGAGTGAAGACGCTGAGACTCTGCCTGGCTTCAGAGTGAAGACGCTGAGACTCTGCCTGGCTTCAGAGTGAAGACGCTGAGACTCTGCCTGGCTTCAGAGTGAAGACACTGAGACTCTGCCTGGCTTCAGCATGAAGACGCTGAGACTCTGCCTGGCTTCAGAGTGAAGACGCTGAGACTCTGCCTGGCTTCAGAGTGAAGACGCTGAGACTCTGCCTGGCTTCAGTGTGAAGACGCTGAGACTCTGCCTGGCTTCAGAGTGAAGATGCTGAGACACTGCCTGGCTTCAGCGTGAAGACGCTGAGACTCTGCCTGGCTTCAGTGTGGAGACACTGAGACACTGCCTGGCTTCAGTGTGAAGACACTGAGACTCTGCTTGGCTTCAGAGTGAAGACACTGAGACTCTGCTTGGCTTCAGCGTGAAGACACTGAGACTCTGCCTGGCTTCAGAGTGAAGACGCTGAGACTCTGCCTGGCTTCAGAGTGAAGATGCTGAGACTCTGCCTGGCTTCAGTGTGAAGACGCTGAGACTCTGCCTGGCTTCAGTGTGAAGACGCTGAGACACTGCCTGGCTTCAGCATGAAGACGCTGAGACTCTGCCTGGCTTCAGAGTGAAGACGCTGAGACTCTGCCTGGCTTCAGAGTGAAGACACTGAGACTCTGCCTGGCTTCAGCGTGAAGACGCTGAGACTCTGCCTGGCTTCAGCGTGAAGATGCTGAGACTCTGCCTGGCTTCAGCGTGAAGACACTGAGACTCTGCCTGGCTTCAGAGTGAAGACACTGAGACTCTGCCTGGCTTCAGAGTGAAGACGCTGAGACTCTGCCTGGCTTCAGCGTGAAGACGCTGAGACTCTGCCTGGCTTCAGCGTGAAGACGCTGAGACTCTGCCTGGCTTCAGCGTGAAGACGCTGAGACACTGCCTGGCTTCAGCATGAAGACGCTGAGACTCTGCCTGGCTTCAGAGTGAAGACGCTGAGACTCTGCCTGGCTTCAGAGTGAAGACACTGAGACTCTGCCTGGCTTCAGCGTGAAGACGCTGAGACTCTGCCTGGCTTCAGAGTGAAGACGCTGAGACTCTGCCTGGCTTCAGAGTGAAGACGCTGAGACTCTGCCTGGCTTCAGCATGAAGACACTGAGACTCTGCCTGGCTTCAGAGTGAAGACACTGAGACTCTGCCTGGCTTCAGCGTGAAGACGCTGAGACTCTGCCTGACTTCAGTGTGAAGACGCTGAGACTCTGCCTGGCTTCAGCGTGAAGACGCTGAGACTCTGCCTGGCTTCAGCGTGAAGACACTGAGACTCTGCCTGGCTTCAGAGTGAAGACACTGAGACTCTGCCTGGCTTCAGCGTGAAGACACTGAGACTCTGCCTGGCTTCAGAGTGAAGACGCTGAGACTCTGCCTGGCTTCAGTGTGAAGACTCTGAGACTCTGCCTGGCTTCAGTGTGAAGACGCTGAAACTCTGCCTGGCTTCAGCGTGAAGACGCTGAGACTCTGCCTGGCTTCAGAGTGGAGACGCTGAGACTCTGCCTGGCTTCAGCGTGAAGATGCTGAGACTCTGCCTGGCTTCAGCATGAAGACGCTGAGACTCTGCCTGGCTTCAGAGTGAAGACGCTGAGACTCTGCCTGGCTTCAGTGTGAAGACACTCAGACACTGCCTGGCTTCAGCATGAAGACGCTGAGACTCTGCCTGGCTTCAGAGTGAAGACGCTGAGACTCTGCCTGGCTTCAGAGTGAAGACGCTGAGACTCTGCCTGGCTTCAGTGTGAAGACGCTGAGACTCTGCCTGGCTTCCCAGTGAAGACGCTGAGACTCTGCCTGGCTTCAGCGTGAAGACTCTGAGACTCTGCCTGGCTTCAGTGTGAAGACGCTGAGACTCTGCTTGGCTTCAGTGTGAAGACGCTGAGACTCTGCCTGGCTTCAGAGTGAAGACGCTGAGACTCTGCCTGGCTTCAGAGTGAAGACGCTGAGACTCTGCCTGGCTTCAGTGTGAAGACGCTGAGACTCTGCCTGGCTTCAGAGTGAAGACACTGAGACTCTGCCTGGCTTCAGAGTGAAGACGCTGAGACTCTGCCTGGCTTCAGAGTGAAGACGCTGAGACTCTGCCTGGCTTCAGCGTGAAGACGCTGAGACTCTGCCTGGCTTCAGAGTGAAGACGCTGAGACTCTGCCTGGCTTCAGCATGAAGACGCTGAGACTCTGCCTGGCTTCAGAGTGAAGACGCTGAGACTCTGCCTGGCTTCAGAGTGAAGACACTCAGACACTGCCTGGCTTCAGTGTGAAGACGCTGAGACTCTGCCTGGCTTCAGCATGAAGACGCTGAGACTCTGCCTGGCTTCAGCATGAAGACGCTGAGACTCTGCCTGGCTTCAGAGTGAAGACGCTGAGACTCTGCCTGGCTTCAGAGTGAAGACGCTGAGACTCTGCCTGGCTTCAGAGTGAAGACGCTGAGACTCTGCCTGGCTTCAGAGTGAAGACGCTGAGACTCTGCCTGGCTTCAGAGTGAAGACACTGAGACTCTGCCTGGCTTCAGAGTGAAGACGCTGAGACTCTGCCTGGCTTCAGAGTGAAGACGCTGAGACTCTGCCTGGCTTCAGAGTGAAGACGCTGAGACACTGCCTGGCTTCAGTGTGAAGACGCTGAGACTCTGCCTGGCTTCAGAGTGAAGACGCTGAGACTCTGCCTGGCTTCAGAGTGAAGACGCTGAGACTCTGCCTGGCTTCAGAGTGAAGACGCTGAGACTCTGCCTGGCTTCAGTGTGAAGACGCTGAGACTCTGCCTGGCTTCAGCATGAAGACGCTGAGACACTGCCTGGCTTCAGTGTGAAGACGCTGAGACTCTGCCTGGCTTCAGAGTGAAGACGCTGAGACTCTGCCTGGCTTCAGAGTGAAGACGCTGAGACTCTGCCTGGCTTCAGAGTGAAGACGCTGAGACTCTGCCTGGCTTCAGCATGAAGACGCTGAGACTCTGCCTGGCTTCAGAGTGAAGACGCTGAGACTCTGCTTGGCTTCAGAGTGAAGACGCTGAGACTCTGCCTGGCTTCAGAGTAAAGACGCTGAGACTCTGCCTGGCTTCAGAGTGAAGACGCTGAGACTCTGCCTGCCTATGGAGTCTGCTGCCAGTAATGAGGGGTAGCGGTGATTGTCGCTGCTGCTGCTGCTGTGTGCTGCAGCCTAGAGCCACTCCCTGTGGGTCTCCAGGTGGCTGGGCGAGTGGATGAGTGGTTGAGCGAATGGTTGGATGAGCGAGCGAGTGAATGAATGAGTTGGTAAGGGGGTTTTAGCGAGTGGATGAGCGAGTGGGTGGGTGTATGAGTTGGTAAATTGATGAGTGGGTGGGTGGGTGTTTGAGTTGGTAAATGGATATGTGAGTGGGTGAGCGAGTGAGTGGGTGGGCGGGTGAGTGAGTGGGCGGGTGAGCGAGCGGGTGGGTGAGCGAGTGGGCGGGTGAGCGGGTGAGCGGGCGGGTGAGCGAGCGGACGAGCGAGTGAGTGAGTGAGTGAGCGAGTGAGCGAGTGAGCGAGCGGTTTCGTGGGTGGGGCGAGGTGAACAAAGGACCGATGCCGAACAGCAGTGAGACTCATCGACATGACCTCTCCCCCCACCACCACCACCTCTCCCCCACCCCCACCCACCACCACCACCACCTCTCCCCGCCCACCCACCCGCCCAGGGTAACGACATCATCGCGGCCGCCAAGCGGATGGCCTTGCTCATGGCCGAGATGTCCCGCCTGGTGCGTGGAGGCTCCGGCAACAAGAGGGCCCTCATCCAGTGCGCCAAGGACATCGCCAAGGCCTCCGACGAGGTGACGGGGCTCGCCAAAGAAGTGGCCAAGCAGTGCACGGACAAGAGGATCCGCACCAACCTGCTGCAGGTGGGGTGGGTGGGTGGGTGGGGTGGGGTGGGTGGGGTGGGTGGGTGGAGTGGGGTGTGTGGGGTGGGTGGGGTGGGTGGAGTGGGTGGGGTGGGAGGAGTGGGGTGGGTGGGTGTGTGGGGTGGGTGGGGTGGGTGGGGTGGGTGGGGTGGGTGGGGTGGAGTGGGTGGGTGGGGTGGGTTGGAGTGGGTGGGTGGGGTGGGGTGGAGTGGGTGGATGGGGTGGGGTGGGTGGGTGGGGTGGGGTGGGTGGGTGGGGTGGGGTGGGTGGAGTGTGTGGTGAGTGTGTGTGTGTGGTGTGTGTGGTGTGTGTGGTGTGTGTGGTGTGTGTGGTGTGTATGGTGTGTGTGTGTGTGTGCGTGGTGTGTGTGTGCGTGGTGTGTGTGTGCGTGGTGTGTGACTGTGTGTGGTGTGTGTGTGTGGTGTGTGACTGTGTGTGTGTGACTGTGTGGTGTGTGTGTGGTGTGTGACTGTGTCTGTGTAGTGTGTGTAGTGTGTGTGTGTGTGTTGACCTTCTTTATCACCTCACGTAGCCAAGCTGATAATCTGCGGTGAGGAATCCGCAGTAGCGGTGGCAACTCTACTCACTACTCCCCCTCCCCTCTCCCGCCACTCTCCCCCCACTCTCCCCCCACTCTCCCCCCACTCTCCCCCCACTCTCTCCCCCCACTCTCTCCCCCCCACTCTGTGCTAGGTTTGTGAGAGGATCCCCACGATCTCCACGCAGCTCAAGATCCTTTCTACTGTCAAGGCGACCATGCTGGGTCGCACAAACATCAGTGATGAGGAGTCGGAGCAGGTACCACTCTTAACTACTACCACCAACTAGTAACTAGTACCGCTAACTAGTACCACTCTTAACTACTACCGCCAACTAGTAACTAGTACCGCTAACTAGTACCACTCTTAACTACTACCACCAACTAGTAACTAGTACCACTAACTAGTACCACTCTTAACTACTACCACCAACTAGTAACTAGTACCACTAACTAGTACCACTCTTAACTACTACCACCAACTAGTAACTAGTACCACTAACTAGTACCACTCTTACTACTACCACCAACTAGTAACTAGTACCGCTAACTAGTACCACTCTTAACAACTACCACCAACTAGTAACTAGTACCGCTAACTAGTACCACTCTTACTACTACCACCAACTAGTAACTAGTACCGCTAACTAGTACCACTCTTACTACTACCACCAACTAGTAACTAGTATCGCTAACTACTACCACTCTTACTACTACCACCAACTAGTAACTAGTACCGCTAACTAGTACCACTCTTACTACTACCACCAACTACTAACTACTACCACTAACTAGTACCACTCTTACTACTACCACCAACTAGTAACTAGTACCGCTAACTAGTACCACTCTTACTACTACCACCAACTAGTAACTAGTACCGCTAACTAGTACCACTCTTACTACTACCACCAATTAGTAACTAGTACCGCTAACTAGTACCACTCTTACTACTACCACCAACTAGTAACTAGTGCCGCTAACTAGTACCACTCTTACTACTACCACCAACTAGTAACTACTACCACAAACTAGTACCACTCTTAACTAATACCACCAACTAGTACCGCTAACTAGTACCACTCTTACTACTACCACCAACTAGTAACTAGTACCGCTAACTAGTGCCACTCTTACTACTACCACCAACTAGTAACTAGTACCGCTAACTAGTACCACTCTTACTACTACCACCAACTAGTAACTAGTGCCGCTAACTAGTACCACTCTTAACTAATACCACCAACTAGTAACTAGTACCGCTAACTAGTACCACTCTTACTACTACCAACAACTAGTAACTAGTACCGCTAACTAGTACCACTCTTACTACTACCACCAACTAGTAACTAGTACCGCTAACTAGTACCACTCTTACTACTACCACCAACTAGTAACTAGTACCGCTAAATAGTACCACTCTTAACTACTACCACCAACTAGTAACTAGTACCGCTAACTAGTACCACTCTTACTACTACCACCAACTAGTAACTACTACCAATAACTAGTACCACTCTTACTACTACCACCAACTAGTAACTAGTACCACTAACTAGTACCACTCTTACTACTACCACCAACTAGTAACTAGTACCACTCTTACTACTACCACCAACTAGTAACTAGTACCGCTAACTAGTACCACTCTTACTACTACCACCAACTAGTAACTAGTACTGCTAACTAGTACCACTCTTACTACTACCACCAACTAGTACCACTAACTAGTACCACTCTTACTACTACCACCAACTAGTAACTACTACCACTAACTAGTACCACTCTTAACTAATACCACCAACTAGTACCGCTAACTACTACCACCAACTAGTACCGCCAACTATTACCGCTAACTAGTACCAGCAACTACTACCACTAACTACGACCACTAACTAGTACCGCTAACTACCACTCTAGCTACTGCCGCTTACTACCACTCTAACTACTACCACTAACTACCGCCAACTAGTACCGCCAACTAGTACCGCTAACTAGTAACGCTAACTACCACCGCTAACTCCCACCGCTAACTACCACCATCAACACCACTACCACCACTACAACCTACCCCCCCCGTGTCTCTCTCCCCGTGTCTCTCTCCCCGTGTCTCTCTCACCCCCGTGTCTCTCTCTCCCCGTGTCTCTCTCTCCCCGTGTCTCTCTCTCCCCGTGTCTCTCTCTCCCCGTGTCTCTCTCCCCGTGTCTCTCTCTCCCCGTGTCTCTCTCTCCCCGTGTCTCTCTCTCCCCGTGTCTCTCTCTCTCTCCTCGTGTCTCTCTCTCCCCGTGTCTCTCTCTCCCCGTGTCTGTCTCTTTCTCCCCGTGTCTCTCTCTCTCCCCGTGTCTCTCTCTCTCCCCGTGTCTCTCTCTCTCCCCGTGTCTCTCTCTCTCCCCGTGTCTCTCTCTCTCCCCGTGTCTCTCTCTCTCCCCGTGTCTCTCTCTCTTCCCGTGTCTCTCTCTCTTCCCGTGTCTCTCTCTCCCCGTGTCTCTCTCTCCCCGTGTCTCTCTCTCTCCCCGTGTCTCTCTCTCTCCCCGTGTCTCTCTCTCTCCCCGTGTCTCTCTCTCTCCCCGTGTCTCTCTCTCCCCGTGTCTCTCTCTCACCCCCGTGTCTCTCACCGTGTATCTCTCTCACCGTGTCTCTCTCACCGTGTCTCTCTCACCGTGTCTCTCTCACCGTGTCTCTCTCTCACCGTGTCTCTCTCTCACCGTGTCTCTCTCACCGTGTATCTCTCTCCCCGTGTCTCTCTCTCCCCGTGTCTCTCTCTCACCCCCGTGTCTCTCTCCCCGTGTCTCTCTCCCCGTGTCTCTATCTCTCCCCGTGTCTCTCTCCCCATGTCTCTCTCTCACCGTGTCTCTCTCTCCCCGTGTCTCTCTCTCCCCGTGTCTCTCTCTCCCCGTGTCTCTCTCTCCCCGTGTCTCTCTCTCCCCGTGTCTCTCTCTCCCCGTGTCTCTCTCCTCGTGTCTCTCTCTCCCCGTGTCTCTCTCTCCCCGTGTCTCTCTCTCCCCGTGTCTGTCTCTTTCTCCCCGTGTCTCTCTCTCCCCGTGTCTCTCTCTCTCCCCGTGTCTCTCTCTCTCCCCGTGTCTCTCTCTCTCCCCGTGTCTCTCTCTCTCCCCGTGTCTCTCTCTCTCCCCGTGTCTCTCTCTCTCCCCGTGTCTCTCTCTCTTCCCGTGTCTCTCTCTCTTCCCGTGTCTCTCTCTCCCCGTGTCTCTCTCTTTCCCCGTGTCTCTCTCTCTCCCCGTGTCTCTCTCTCTCCCCGTGTCTCTCTCTCCCCGTGTCTCTCTCTCACCCCCGTGTCTCTCCCCGTGTCTCTCTCTCTCCCCGTGTCTCTCTCACCGTGTCTCTCTCACCGTGTATCTCTCTCACCGTGTCTCTCTCTCACCGTGTCTCTCTCTCACCGTGTCTCTCTCACCGTGTATCTCTCTCCCCGTGTCTCTCTCTCCCCGTGTCTCTCTCTCACCCCCGTGTCTCTCTCCCCGTGTCTCTCTCCCCGTGTCTCTATCTCTCCCCGTGTCTCTCTCCCCGTGTCTCTCTCTCACCGTGTCTCTCTCTCACCGTGTCTCTCTCTCTCCCCGTGTCTCTCTCTCCCCGTGTCTCTCTCTCACCCCCGTGTCTCTCCCTGTGTCTCTCTCACCCCCGTGTCTCTCCCTGTGTCTCTCTCTCTCCCCGTGTCTCTCTCCCCGTGTCTCTCTCTCTCCCCGTGTCTCTCTCCCCGCCGTGTCTCTCTCACCATCTCTCTCTCTCCCCGTGTCTCTCTCTCCCCGTGTCTCTCTCCCCGTGTCTCTCTCTCCCCGTGTCTCTCTCTCCCCGTGTCTCTCTCCCCGTGTCTCTCTCTCCCCTTGTCTCTCTCTCACCCCCGTGTCTCTCCCCGTGTCTCTCTCTCTCCCCGTGTCTCTCTCTCCCCGTGTCTCTCTCCCCATCTCTCTCTCTCCCCGTGTCTCTCTCTCACCGTGTCTCTCTCTCATCGTGTCTCTCTCTCTCCCCGCCGTGTCTCTCTCACCATGTCTCTCTCACCCCCGTGTCTCTCTCTCACCCCCGTGTCTCTCTCACCGTGTCTCTCTCTCACCGTGTCTCTCTCTCACCGTGTCTCTCTCTCCCCGTGTCTCTCTCCCCGTGTCTCTCTCCCCGTGTCTCTCTCTCTCCCCGTGTCTCTCTCTCCCCGCCGTGTCTCTCTCCCCGTGTCTCTCTCTCTCCCCGTGTCTCTCTCTCTCACCGTGTCTCTCTCTCTCCCCGTGTCTCTCTCTCACCGTGTCTCTCTCTCTCCCCGCCGTGTCTCTCTCCCCGTGTCTCTCTCTCTCCCCGTGTCTCTCTCTCCCCGTGTCTCTCTCTCCCCGTGTCTCTCTCTCCCCGTGTCTCTCTCTCTCTCCCTGTGTCTCTCTCCCCGTGTCTCTCTCTCTCCCCGTGTCTCTCTCTCCCCGTGTCTCTCTCTCCCCGCCGTGTCTTTCTCCGTGTCTCTCTCTCCCCGTGTCTCTCTCTCTCCCCGTGTCTCTCTCTCACCCCCGTGTCTCTCCCCGTGTCTCTCTCTCTCCCCGTGTCTCTCTCTCTCCCCGTGTCTCTCTCTCTCCCCGTGTCTCTCTCTCTCCCCGTGTCTCTCTCTCTCCCCGTGTCTCTCTCTCTCCCCGTGTCTCTCTCTCTCCCCGTGTCTCTCTCTCACCCCGTGTCTCTCTCTCACCCCCGTGTCTCTCTCTCCCCGTGTCTCTCTCTCCCCGTGTCTCTCTCTCCCCGTGTCTCTCTCTCCCCGTGTCTCTCTCTCCCCGTGTCTCTTTCTCCGTGTCTCTCTCTCCCCGTGTCTCTCTCTCACCCCCGTGTCTCTCTCCCCGTGTCTCTCTCTCTCCCCGCCGTGTCTCTCTCTCTCCCTGTCTCTCTCTCCCCGCCGTGTCTCTCTCTCTCCCCGTGTCTCTCTCTCTCTCCCCGCCGTGTCTCTCTCCCCGCCGCGTGGTGTCCAGGCCACGGAGATGCTGGTTCACAATGCCCAGAACCTGATGCAGTCCGTGAAGGAGACGGTGCGGGAGGCAGAAGCGGCCTCCATCAAGATCCGCACGGACGCTGGACTCACGCTCAGATGGGTCCGCAAGACTCCCTGGTACCAGTGATGGACTCCGCCCCCGGTGCCAGTGATAGACAAACGGGGAGAGACACGGGGAGAGAGAGACACGGGGAGAGAGAGACACGGGGGGGGAGAGACACGGGGGGGGAGAGACACGGGGGGAGACACACGGGGGGGGGGGAGAGACACGGGGGGAGACACACGGGGAGAAAGACACGGGGAGAGAGACACACGGGGAGAGAGAGACACGGGGGGAGAGACACGGGGGGGAGAGACACGGAGAGAGAGAGACACGGGGGGAGAGACACGGGGGGGGGGGCGAGACACGGGGAGAGAGAGACACGGGGGGGAGAGACATGGGGGGGGGGGAGAGACACGGGGAGAGAGAGACACGGGGGGAGAGACACGGGGGGGGAGAGACACGTGGAGAGAGACACGGGGAGAGACACACGGGGAGAGAGACACACGGGGAGAGAGACACACGGGGAGAGAGAGACACGGGGGGAGAGACACGGGGAGAGAGAGACATGGGGGGAGAGACACGGGGAGGGAGAGACACGGGGAGAGAGAGACACGGGGAGAGAGAGACACGGGGGGAGAGACGCACGGGGAGAGAGACACGGGGAGAGAGACACGGGGAGAGAGACACGGGGAGAGAGACACACGGGGAGAGAGACACACGGGGAGAGACACACGGGGAGAGAGACACGGGGGGAGAGATGGGGAGAGACACGGGGGGAGAGATGGGGAGAGACACGGGGAGATAGCTGGGGGGAGAGACACGGGGAGAGACACACGGGGAGAGACACGGGGAGAGAGTTGGGGAGAGACACGGGGAGAGAGACGGGGGGAGAGACGGGGAGAGACACACGGATAGAGACACGGGGAGAGAGACACGGGGAGAGAGACACGGGGAGAGACACGGGCGGAGAGACACGGGGGGAGGGGGGGAGAGACACGGGGGGAGAGACATACGGGAGGACGTGTGGAAACAAAGACAATGAGGTATAGAGACACAGACACACAGAGAGACACACAGAGAGACAGAGAGACACACAGAGAGACACACAGAGAGAGACACAGAGAGACACAGAGAGACACAGAGAGACACTCAGAGACACTCAGAGACACTCAGAGACACACATAGACACACATAGACACTCAGAGACACTCAGAGACACTTGGATGTTGAGGTATAGAGAGACACACAGAGACACTCTGAGACACACAGAGACACAGAGAGACAGAGACACTCAGAGACACACAGAGACAGAGACACTCGGATGTTGAGGTATAGAGACACAGAGACACACAGAGACACAGAGACACACATAGAGACACTCGGATGTTGAGGTATAGAGAGACACAGAGACACAGAGACACACAGAGACACACAGAGACACACAGAGAGACACAGAGAGACACACAGAGACACTCAGACACTCAGATGTTGAGGTATAGAGACACACAGAAACACAGACACTCAGAGACACTCAGAGACACAGAGACACACACAGAGACACACAGAGAGACACTCGGATGTTGAGGTATAGAGAGACACAGAGACACACAGAGACACACAGGGAGACGCAGAAACACACAGAGAGACACAGAAACACACTGAGAGACACAGAGACACACAGAGACACTCAGAGACACTCAGACACTCAGACACACAGAGACACAGACACTCGGATGTTGAGGTATAGAGAGACACAGAGACACAGAGACACTTGGATGTTGAGGTATAGAGACACACACAGAGACACACAGAGAGACACAGAGAGATACAGAGACACACAGAGACACTCAGAGACACACAGAGAGACACAGAGAGACACTTGGATGTTGAGGTATAGAGACACACAGAGACACAGAGAGACACTTGGATGTTGAGGTATAGAGACACAGAGACACACAGAGACACTCAGAGACACAGACACACAGAGATACACTCGGATGTTGAGGTATAGAGACACACAGGTACACAGAGACACACAGAGACACACAGAGACACACAGAGACACACAGACACACAGAGACACTCAGAGACACAGACACACAGAGACACACACAGAGACACACAGAGACAGAGACACAGAGAGACACACAGAGACACTCGGATGTTGAGGTGTAGAGACACGGAGACAGACACGGAGACAGACACTAAGACGTTGACGTTTGGAGACACGGAGACACGGAGGTGTTGGCAACGTCCACGTTACAAAGCTGCGTCTCATTTTACACATACCATCAGCCTCACCGTGTTGCATTGGGGAGAGTTCACGGTGGCCGTGTGGGTGGGGTTCACGGTGGCCGTGTGGGTGGGGTTCACGGTGGCCGTGTGGGTGGGGTTCACGGTGGCCGTGTGGGTGGGGTTCACGGTGGCCGTGTGGGTGGGGTTCACGGTGGCCGTGTGGGTGGGGTTCACGGTGGCCGTGTGGGTGGGGTTCACGGTGGCCGTGTGGGTGGGGTTCACGGTGGCCGTGTGGGTGGGGTTCACGGTGGCCGTGTGGGTGGGGTTCACGGTGGCCGTGTGGGTGGGGTTCAAGGTGGCCGTGTGGGTGGGGTTCACGGTGGCCGTGTGGGTGGGGTTCACGGTGGCCTTGTGGGTGGGGTTCACGGTGGCCGTGTGGGTGGGGTTCACGGTGGCTGTGTGGGTGGGGTTCAAGGTGGCCGTGTGGGTGGGGTTCACGGTGGCCTTGGGGTTCACAGTGGCTGTGTGGGTGGGGTTCACGGTGGCCGTGTGGGTGGGGTTCACGGTGGCTGTGTGGGTGGGGTTCACGGTGGCTGTGTGGGTGGGGTTCACGGTGGCCGTGTGGGTCACAGCCCATCAGGCTGAGCAGGGGTTAGAACCTCTCCCCTGGGCTTACGCACTGCCCCTGGCTCCCAGAGAGAGAGAGAGAGTTGGGGCGCGGGAGGAGGTGAAAGAGAGGGAAACACAGAGACGGTTATCATTCACTCGTCACCTACCCACCCACCCATTCACCCACCCACCCATTCACCCACCCACCCATTCACCCACCCACCCATCCACCCACCCACCCATTCACCCACCCATTCACCCACCCACCCATTCACCCACCCACCCATTCACCCACCCACCCATTCACCCACCCATTCACTCACCCACCCACCCATTCACTCACCCACCCACCCATTCACTCACCCACCCACCCATTCACTCACCCACTCACCCACCCATTCACTCACCCACCCATTCACTCACCCACCCATTCACCCACCCACCCATTCACCCACCCATTCACTCACCCACCCACCCATTCACTCACCCACCCATTCACTCATCCACCCATTCACTCATCCACCCATTCACTCATCCACCCACCCACCCATTCACTCACCCACCCATTCACCCACCCACCCATTCACCCACCCACCCATTCACTCACCCACCCATTCACTCACCCACCCATTCACCCACCCACCCATTCACTCACCCACCCATTCACTCACCCACCCACCCATTCACTCACCCACCCACCCATTCACTCACCCACCCATTCACTCACCCACCCATTCACTCACTCACCCACCCATTCACTCACCCACCCACCCATTCACTCACCCACCCATTCACTCACCCATTCACTCACCCACCCACTCACTCACCCACCCATTCACTCACCCACCCATTCACTCACCCACCCATTCACTCACTCACCCACCCATTCACTCACTCACCCACCCATTCACTCACTCACCCACCCATTCACTCACTCACCCACCCATTCACTCACTCACCCACCCATTCACTCACTCACCCACCCATTCACTCACTCACCCACTCACCCATTCACTCACTCACCCACTCACCCATTCACTCACTCACCCACTCACCCATTCACTCACTCACCCACTCACTCACCCACCCATTCACTCACCCACCCATTCACTCATTCACCCACCCATTCACTCACTCACCCACCCACCCATTCACTCACCCACCCATTCACTCACCCACCCATTCACTCACCCACCCATTCACTCACCCACCCACTCACACACCCACCCATTCACTCATCCACTCACTCATCCACTCACTCATCCACTCACTCACCCACGCACTCAAACACCGACTCACACACCCATCCACTCACTCACACATTCACTCACTCACCCACCCATTCACTCACTCACCCACCCATTCACTCACTCACCCACCCATTCGCTCACCCACCCATTCGCTCACACACCCACCCATTCACTCATCCACTCACTCACACACCCACCCATTCACTCATCCACTCACTCATCCACTCACTCATCCACTCACTCACCCACGCACTCAAACACCGACTCACACACCCATCCACTCACACACACATTCACTCACACACCAATCCACTCACTCGCACATCCATCCACTCACACACCCATCCACTCACTCACCCATGCACTCACACACCCATCCACTCACACATTCACTCACACACCCATCCACTCACACACTCATTCACTCACTCGCCCATCCACTCACTCACCCATCCACTCGCTCACACATTCACTCACACATCCATCCACTCACTCACACATTCACTCACACACCCATCCACTCACTCACACATTCACTCACACACCCATCCACTCACACACCCATCCACTCGCTCACACATTCACTCACACATTCACTCACACACCCATCCACTCACACACTCACTCACACATCCATCCACTCACTCACCCATGCACTCACACACCCATCCACTCACACATTCACTCATCCATCCACTCACACATCCATTCACTCACACATCCATCCACTCACACACCCATTCACTCACTCAACTACTCACACACCCATCCACTCACTCACCCATTCACTCACACACCCATTCACTCACCCATTCACTCACACACTCATCCACTCACTCACCCACCCATTCACTCACTCGCCCATCCACTCACACATCCATCCATTCACTCACACACCCATTCACTCACTCACCCATTCGCTCACTCGCCCATCCACTCGCTCAACTACTCGCCTATTGTCTAATTTTATTTTAAAGTTCATAATGCAGTTGTGTACGCTGTAAAGATACCAACACAACGACTATATATTAATGCTACTAACTACGACATCTATTATTATTATGTAACAATCGGCCACA